TTTAATAACAAAAATAATTAGATGCGTGAAGCTCAAAAATTAGTGATGGCTAAGTTTCAACCCAACGGAAACCTAAACATCTGACAATGCGTTTTCAAAGAAATAAATTATGTGATTCCAAATCATTATAGGGGGAGAGGGAAATATGGTAAAAGTCAAAAGCAATCTATCTACATCGTTTAACGATTATTACGTGAATAAAACTGGCACATTCTCGGTTTCAGTCCTTTTCATGTTCATCTTTTGCGTCTCGCTGAGGATTTTTTGCATCCCTTCTCGCGGTGTGTCTTCCTGCACCGGTTGGTGGTATCGCCCCTAGGATGAGCGCGGGGTCGGTGGACGAGCTCGGATGTTATCCCCGATTTGAAAAAAAAAAGATAACATCTTCTCCTTTTTTCCCTTTCATCCACCGCCGTTTGGGCGCGCTTGATCAGACTTGGGGGGTGGGGGTTCGATCACGCTGATCCAGCTCCTTGTTGGACGCGGTGAAGGAGCGCGCGGTGTAGAGTTCCGGCCCCGGCCCCTCCATCGCGGGCGGGTTGAGCGGGTGCGATTTGTAGAGCTCCGGGGCGAAGGAGTTCATCTCCGAGGTCACGTTCTCCGTCGTTCGCAGCGGGTTTCGAACCACCAGCGGGTTCCGCGGCTCATCGATGCTCTCGAGGTGCAGCGAGCTATTCGTTCGGGCGTTGGAGATGAACGAGGCGGTTCGGTTCGGCAGGAAAATGGGGGCCTCGTAAATACTCTCGTTGTACTCCTTGAGGTTATCGGTTTTCGTGATGAAGAGCTTCAGGATGAGCAACACCGATACCACGCCAATCACCGTGATGATGACAAAGAAGACGCAAATCGCAATCAACCACGCACCGTCCGTCGTCAGAATTGGCCCGAAATCGGCGTCGAGGGCGACGGCGAGCAGCTTCGCATCCGTCGGGTTCCCATTGTAGTACGAAATCACGTCACTGTAGTTCCCTTGAAAAAGTACGCAGATGATCTGATCGTTATCCCACGGGTTTTCCCCCAACAACAATCGGTGTTGATTTACCACACCGTGCACCAAAAGCCCGCTTTTTTGCGTACTACCTTTGCTGAAGGTTTCGAGGCGTGTGATAGTGACATCATTGGTGTAAAATCTACGGACTAACATTAGGTTCGCATCCGTTATGATGCTCTGAGAGATAGCATTTTGTTTCACCGTTAAGGCTTCATCCCATTTTTTCGAATCCCCCGAAAAACGCATAATAAACTTCGCTGATACGGTGGCAACGACAGTGTC